AACATAATAAAAATGTCATGCAGAAAATTCCATACAGTTAGTTCAATAAAATTTCTTTTGTAACAAATTCTAATATATATTTGTTGCTAATCGAGTAGGTTCAAAATTGATTACTGACTGAAATGCGTGATTCAGAATTTGTGGTATGTTATAATGGCATATTAAAATAGAGATAATTTTATCAAGAATTTATCGTATAAATATTGAGATTTAAAAAACCATGTGGAGATCTGTAACAAAGGCTCTGAAAATAGCGCAATACCACAAATCACGTGGATTTATTCAATGTTAATTGAAATTTACGTTAATTATCATCTATTTGTCATTTTTTATTGAATAAAGATTTTATGATGTTTGTTTACCTTAAAGACCTATTATCCAGAAATATCTATTTTCCGGACTTGCTGAAGTCCCGGCAACTTCGGATATGGGACTTTCCATTGTATTTAAATTTTTTTATTAGTATTAAATTAAAACTAATTAAAATATTTAATACAGTGGACACCGATATTAACAACCCCTGTAGTCCACACAAAAATGGGTGTTATAATGTGAATTTGCTATATTGTGAAGTCACAAAACTGGAGCAAATGTTTACTTTTATTTCATAAATATTGGACTTATTTTGAGAAAAGCATGCTATACATTAAAAAGAATTATGAATCTGATAGAACAATTGACATTTACATAGTTTTTTTTTAAATATCATTAACACTTAACATACCATAACTGGTCAAAAGACCATTTATCGTATGTTGTTTTGTAAAGTGTTGGTATGTTTAGTGTTCAAGTGCAAATATTAATATAATTCATTAAAGGTTAAAAATGCATTCCATTTTCTTAAAATGACATATTTTAATATTACACATAATTTTTAAAAAGTGCTTTTGCTATATTTTCAATTTTCTTTCACAGGAACGATGATGTGAAATTAGTACACTTTATTCTCCTGTCTTTAGAATTACATCAGAAATTTTAATTATTATAAACAACGCGCTTTATAGTATTTTCAATATTTTAAGCAATTTGTGGTTTTGATGTAATTCTTCGATCCACTTCCTACAAAATTTTCTGTTTTAAGCATATAGCGTTAATATGCTTACGAACAGCCAATTTTGCAAAAATCATTATATGTGCAAAGAATTTTTAAGTCTGAGCAAAAATGAAATCCAGAAGGATGTGAATACCACTTGTTTTAACTTTAAAATAAGCCACCTCTTACAGCATTTCACAAAAAGAGAAACTACAATTTTCAGACAAGAAAAATCTGATTGATAAATTTAATGAACCCTTTGAAAAGAAATTTACTTATGTAATTAATACATGCAGGAAACCCAAAAGTAGTTCCACCACAAAGATGCCATTATACACTTCGAACTTTCAATAATGGAAAATAATCAATATTTCAAAATCTTTTTGACTATTGAATATGCATAGAATTATAGTCACTCTAAGTTAAGGTCTTATCACTCTTTCTTCATTCTTGGAGATTTATGTTTATGGAGTGCATTTACCAAAAGCCAATAGTGTTGTGAATAATTCCTTTCATACTTTTGTTACCCATTGACTTACTGTCAACTGAAAAATGCTAATTTTCGATGCACTATAATGTGTAACATCTGTTTTTTTGGAGTGATTTTTTTTAGGAATTAAACAAATAAAACAAAATTTATGTCGTTATAGTGGAATAAACGATTCACTTTAGACATTCTTATGAGTGTTAAAATGACATGGTGTCTATGGATCAGCAAACAGAACTTCACGTATTGTTTATTATCATGGAAGGTTCACAGTAAAAGGGATCTTTCTAGAAAGTGTAGATTGTATATAGAAGATAATGAATTCTAATATTCAAAGTTGTTTTTAAATATATTAAAGTATTGGAAAAATGCTTATTCATATTTCTTTATTGAGCTAAACTAAAGTTAGCTTTTAAATTTTGCCCATTTTATTGACTATTACTATAGAATGCTTTGCAGTTGAAAGTTTTTCCATGTGCTTAATGTTTTGAAAACAAAAAGTAACACTTTAAGATGAAAAATATGCATTGTTTTTAGAATTTAAATTTTTAATAGAATAAAATATCTTATATTAATAAACTTTAGAATAAGTTTATCTATAGCAATTGCTTGCAAATTGTGTAAATTTGTAAGTTTACTTAACATATTATTCAAAATGGGATACAGAGTTAGCCTATGCTTTGATAATAACAACACCAATGAAATTAAATAAATTGAAACACTCACAATTTTCAATATCTTTTTCATTTTTATGGACTTTCAAAAAGTAAGAAAAAATTGAAA